GTACTCCAGATTCTATGGGTATTTGAAGGTTGGCAGAAAATATCATGTTATGGGAAGCCTTGGCCCTTGAGTCCGAGGGGCACATCTTGTTTGGAAATCACAGGACTAGCACCTCTCCCCTCCCTATGGCTCTTTCTTGCTTCAAGGCTGTGGTTTTCTGAAGACCCTAAGGAAATGCAGAATGATGGAAACAAGGTTGTGTTAGGCTGTGTTAGGGGGTGCATTTCTTTAGAAAATTTCATTTTTATTAGTACATGTTTGTGATACGTAATGATTACATTCATTGTGGGTAATTGGTATACATACACACAAACACATATGACAAATCTTTGTTGTATTGTTTGCATCCTAAATACTGTTTTGGTGTAAAAAAAAAAATCAAAGACACCAACTTTCCTTCTCCCCTCTCCAAGTCACACTGCCTAGTCCTACTCTGAAAATCTTCTGCCCCTCCTTTTCTGAAGTTAGTGGCCAGCAGAGGGCAGCAAACCTTCACAGCTGGCCTGGCAGAGGCCGCGCAGTGGCAGATGTAGGAGAGAGGCTGGGAGCCGTCCGCTGACTCCTGTACCCACATGTAGATGGTACTGGGGCGACAAGGCTGCTGACTGCAGCCTTCACCCACTAATAATAAAAATGGCCACCTTCAAAGTGAGAGCAACCGTTTATTGCACACTTATGGTGTGCCAGGCTACATGTAAACACTCGAAGTAGGTACACATTGCACGTCATTGCCACACCGACTCTCTGAGGTAGGAGATGTTTTTTTTTCACTTTACAGAAGAGACAAGAGGATGGTTGAGATTAAGTGACAGGCAGAGAAGCATGGGAGTGATGGGTGTGGGCACAGGAATCAGAGAACCCTTCCTCCCACCACCTCTTTAACCTCCCTAGAGCTTAGTTTTGTCATAGGTGAAATGTGGAGTAATGGAGAATGTTTCTCCTCTGTGAATGTGCACTTGAACCATCTACGTCACAGGTAATTATTAATCAAGCTCTGCTTAGGCCCATTTTTACTTATTTTCTTTCTTTGTTCTTTCTTTCTTTTTTTTGGTACCGGGGATTGAACTCGGGCCCTTGCGCTTGCAAGGCAGGCCACCGAACCGCTGAGCTAAATCCCTGGCCCTTTACTTATTTTCTTTTTAACTTTTCTGATTTTTGTTTCTCTGTTACTCCTTTCATGTCTTCTTGAATTATTTGAATATTTAAAAAACATTCCTTTCAACATATCTATTGATTTTGAGAATATGCTATTATTTTTAGTGGCTACTTCAGAGGTAATATGTACATAATGTAATCTTTCAGAGTCTATGTAGAGCTAATATTTTATCGTTACTTACCTTCTTCCCTATGCTACAGAGACATACATAATACATCTGCACACCCTGTTGATGAGGTGTGTTCCTGTTTGTTTTCAATCATCATTTATTTCAAAGAATATAAGAAGCAAAATAGTCTTTTATGTTTATCCAGATATATGTGATTTCTACTGCTCTCCCTTTATCCTTGGTGTTGCATGTTCCTCTCTGGTATCCTTTCCCTTCTTTTTTGAATAACTCAGAACTTTCAGAGCAGGTCTGTAGGTGACAGGTTCTCCTAGTTTTCTTTCCTCTGAGGATGTCTTTCTTTGTTTTATTTTTCTTTGTGTCTTTGCCTCTGAAGGGTATTTTTGCTGATGACAGAATTCTGTATTAATGCGGCTGAACTGTGTCTCAAGGCTGCAGTACATACCTAGTAAGCACGGGGCCCTGGCTCCTTAGGTGAGAAACAGCGGGTCTCTCTTGGAGTTTTAATCATATCATTCCTGCTGCACAGCCCCATACTCAGACTTGCACTTAGGCAAGGTAATGAGAGAAAACGGAAGGCTATGAGACTCACCTGCTGTATTTTCTGGCCAACAGGGCTCCTTTGCTTAGTTCATTCCTCTTGGTGGAAAGGAAGATTTTCCATGACAGTTTTAGCTGCCCATGCTGGTGCTTCACAACCCCAGAGCTGTGGTCTACTCAGCTCAAGGCCACAGAGCAAAGAAGAAATAAAGGCCCGAGCCACTTTTCTGAGCCTTGTCTTCTCACCATGACTTGCCTGCTCTTGCTTACATTTCAGGATCCTTAAAGAGCTGTTTTGGATTTTATCTACAATTTTTAGTTCTAGTTAGTGGAAGAGAAGAACTGTGATAGGCTGATCTATTGTGGATGAATTGGGAGGCACTTTAGTTGTGTGTTGTGTGTGTGCAATACATACACATGCTGAGGATTGAATTCAGGGCTTTGCACATGCAGAACATGTGCTGTAACACTGAACTCTACTCTCAACCCCTCAACTTTGTTTTAACTGGGCCATCTTGGCTGCTTTTTTTGAGGGCCAACTGAAGGGGATGGGAGGAGAAGCAGAGGCCAGATAGGAGACTACTGCAGTGGTCCGAACAAGAGTGAAGGCAGTTTGGGCCTCTGGTAGTGGTGAAAGTGGTGAGAGATGGTTGGATTCTGGATATTATTTGATGGCCGAGCCGACAAGGTTTGCTGATGGATTAAATACGAGGGTATGAGAGAACAAGAGGGGCTAAGAGGGCTCCAAAGATTTTTGGCTTGAGCACCTTAGTGGAGCAGCCATCATGGTGGAAGGAGCAGCCCCGAGAGGGAAGGAGGAAGACAGAGAACTTGTTTCCCGTGTTCTATTTGCAATGCCCATTAGACACCACATGGGGATGTCAGTGAGCAAATCACATATACCAGCCTGGAGCGGACGGGTGGTCTGGGCTGGAGATACAAGCTCAGGGGTCACTGGCATGTGGATGGCATTTGGAGCCGTGGGAAGGGTAGAGAGATAAGAGAAGGCACCTGATGGCTGGAGCCTGGGGCTCAATGTAGATTTTCCACCTGTCTCGAGAGTTGGAAGCAACTCCATGCAACCTGGAGGTGTCAGTTGGGGTCCAGTTGGGAAGAGAATGGTGCCATACAGCAACTTGAGCAGGGAATGCTTAATACAGTAACATTAGGTATTAACACTTAATATAGTAATGTGAGGGAATGGCTAGTGAGAAGTAAAGAGGACTCTAAGAAATCGAGCAATGGCAGGTAGAAGGACCAGCTACTACTCCTAGTGCTGTGGTGGAAGGACCTGAGGGAAAGCCAACCTGGGTGCCGGATCTCATGGGAAGCAGCACAGCCTCTCATCGGATGCCAGAGCAGCAGAACTCACAGGGGATCACCCACCCAGAACATACCAGAAATCAACCTTCTTAAGTGCAGGGGAAGGTTTTTCACAAACAGGTGTCTGGAAGCACTTGGCTTTGCAATTGCCAGATGCAGTGCTGGCTGTGGCTAGGTGCTACACAAGCCTGCTGTGATTCAGGAACCTGGCACTGGAGAGACCAAGAGGGGCTTGTCAAGGGAGCCCCTGCTGCCCATTGATGACAACTAAAACCTCTAGAAAAAATTCAACTGCCACTACTTGAGGAGTTTGAAAAGTAAACAAAATCAGGCAGTTCAGTGTCTCTCCAATGCCTGCTGACAAAGTGTACCACTGTGCCAGCTAACAAAAGAAATGATTTTAGGGGATCAGATCCATTTTCACAAAGAAGGCAGCTGAGGATGAATTTGGAGCTCAGGCAATGAACTGCTCACTGGCACCGGGTAGATGCAGGTCTGGCTGAGAGAGGAACTGAGGGTGCCCCAGAAAGGTGAGCATGGCCTTGCACATGGGAATGAGCTAGGAAGTCAGGAGTCCCCAGCAGCAGGAGGGCAGAGGGCTGCTGCATCCAGAGCCAGGCTGGCCTGCATCTATGCTGCCTGGAGCCCAGGTAAGGCAGAACACATGAGGATGAGAGATGGTTTCCTGCTGTCTGAGAAGGCGATCCCTGGGAGGCTACAACACACAGCTTCTGCCATGAGATGTCTGTGTTCCCCTATGCACCTGTGTGCACATGGCTGGTCCTGACCTGGCTCAGCTGGTCGCCACCTGGGCTGTGTCTTGCCCTCTGTTATGATCATATTCAAATCCAGGCAAGTCCCCAAACTTGTTATGCTTTCTATAACCTCTTGGTTTTTAGGCACATCGTGGCCTCTGCTAGGAGCACTTCTTTCTTAGTAAGACTGCTTCATCATCTTTCACTTCTCCGCTAAGAAAACACATCTCCAGGAAGCTTTTAACGATGACCTGAGTCTGCGTTGGGCCTCTCTGTGCATTACTCTTAACAGTGCATTTTACATATCAAGACCTAAGCTTGTGTACCCGTCTGCTTATCAGGCTGGATTGGAAGCTCTTTGAGGACAAGGATTGAGTCATGTTCCCAACTATTTTCCCAGTATCATGGCTAACATGTAGCAGGCACTTGTTGAGTGAATGAATAAAAGATGACAGGCTGGAAGTAGGGTACATAGATGGGGTGGCAGAGGGTATGTGGGAAGATCATATAAGGCTTGAATGCCGTGTTAAAAAATTCAGGCTACTTCTGGAAGGCAACGGGGAGCCACTGAGGGCTGTAAGCAGGAGGGAGCCATGATTAATTTTCCACGTGAGAGACAGCCCTCTGGCAGGGTGTGACAAATGAGTTGGATGGGGAAAGAAAGTCCAGGAGGTCCCTCCAGTGGTCTCTCAGGGTCAGGCAGGGGGTGGGACTTGGGAATAGGTTGCAGGGTTCACCCTGTTCACGAGAGGGCACTCTACTGGGTAAGGTAATTCCTGGAAAAAGGTGGGCCTTTTGGCACCTGTTTTCAGAGACTTTGCTCCACGTCTCCTCGCCTTGTGGAATTGTGTGTCCCTTCCTGGAAGGGCCCATGGCCTCTTTCCTCAGTGCCTTCCCCAGCCCAGGACACCAGCCTCTGTCCTTGCCTGGCAAGTCCTCAGTAGGGTGAGATGGTGGCCTCCCCATGCCCAGGGCGATCTGGAAGGAGAGGCCACAGTCCTCGTCAAGTTAGCTTGGCAAGTTTATTGAAAACCCAGGAACACAAAGAGCAGTACAAACAGGCACCCACCCACCCCAGGCCCCCTGGAAATGGCAGGCGCAAACCCTGAAGAGGCAATGGGGTAGAGTAATGGAGTGTTGGAGCCTACCTCTCCACCCACTTAGGGATTCACTGCCAGAGAAGGGAAACCAACAACATAGGAAGCAAGATGGCAACATTCAAGGTCTGGGAGAAGAACCACTGCAGAGCACCTAGGGGTCTCTCGGCCTCTGAGGATTGTGGGTCCTTTGGGGCCAGGAAGAGAAGAATCATCTCCCACCAGGGAAGGAAAGGGAAAGGAGCTAGAGGCTGTGGGCCAAGGATGTGTCTGCAGTGCATTCTCCCCATTACTCCAAAACCAAGGTGGCTCTGGTGTCTGAACACACACACTGGTTTAGAGTGGTTTTTTCCTCCCCAGGTGCATTGCTTTCTGTAGCTGCACTGACTCTGCTTATCCAGAGGCTGTGGCTAGAGGTTGAGCAGTGATCCTAGTGAAGGAAACTGGGAGTCAAGAAAAGCCATTCTGGCTCTGGTTATAGTTAGACCACAGTTAGTTACAGTTAGTGAAAAATCCTCCAGGAGGACCCGGCACAGGCACAGCAATATCTGGGGAGAACGGTGGAGAGCGTCCTAGCAGGAGGGCTGGCTGGAGACCTTTCAGGCCCAGAGTCTGCACACCTCAGGGGACAGAAGCAGGGGACATTCAGCTGGTTCTTCTCTGGGCAGCAGCCACCTGGGGCTTGGCTCTCAGTGCCTGGTCCGGCAGGTGGTGGTGGTGGATGAGAAGCGGACGCTGGAGCTGCGACTGCCCCGACCACCACTGCAGCTGCTGAAGCCGCCCTCGGTGGGCAGCAGGCGTGGGACACTGGGAACACAAGCCTCATCCACAATCATGGAGCCACCCCGGGCCCCACCCAGGCTCGAGCCGCTAGAAGTCAGGATCCCTCTGGTGTTGTGGATGCTGCTGCTGCTGCTGCCACCCGAGCAGGTGATGCCACGGGACAGGGAGGAGCTGAACAATGGCTCAGGCGCACACACCACACTGCCCCGGGAGCTGCTCACAGCTGCAGAGAAGACACAATCAGGAAGCTAATGTCCTCTTTTCTTTTTCCTATCTGGGTGACCCAAAGACCAGGCCTACACTAAAATCAAACACCCAGATTCAACTGGAGGAGTTTGGCCCATTCCCCTGGCATTTGCATGCATCCATAGTTTGCCTGTCTTTTATCTGGGACCCAAGTGGGTTGGGTTATAGGAGGCAGGTAGTGGGTTGATTGTGCTGGTCACTGGAGCAGTAGCTTCCACAAAGCCATGTGACTTCATTTTCCATTATATTACACTCCCTGATTCCACTGGACCAGCACACAAGAAACTGTGTGAACAGGAGTCCCTTGTTAGCTCTCTCCTGACTCAGTGGTGGCTCTGCTGTGTTGACCGGTAGGTTGACAGAATGGAACCCAACTAACCCTTGCTCAGACAAGCTCCCACCAGCATGCCACGCACTCTTTTTTCTACCCTCTCCTCTCACTGGAGTCCTTCTTGCCGCTGTGATCTCTGCTTGATTTTAGTCTCCTGCAGAAGACCCTTGCTTGCTGCCACTTGCCCTCTTCCATGGGCCTCTCTGAGCACAGATAGTTCTGACATATTAGCGCTCAGTTCCACCATGAATGTGGGCACATTTGTGTTTTTGGGGTCAGAGATCTGGGTTTGGGTTCTGGATAATTTTGTGACTTCCAGCACATCCTATCTTTTCCATGGTGTTGCCAGTGCCTGCTCCTCTGCTGGGGTCCCTTCTAGGCTTAGGGTGGCAGTGAAAAAACTCACTTTCTCAAGAAGACAGAAATCCTAGAGAGTTAGAGGCTGGATTCGCTCCACCCTACAGTACTTAGCACAGTGTCTTGCATGCTTTTGTCCCATCACTGCCATCAAGGGGTGAGAGACCTCCTTGGCACAACCTTTTCATTTGTTCTAAGCCACTGGGATGGTTCCCTTGAAGGATGAGGGTACTCAGAGCAAAACGGCTGATTTTCTTCTGGGGCGCTCTCTAACCTTGAAGGTGCTGGGACTCCTTTGCTCTGGGGAGCTCTCGAATCTCAGCTCCCAGTCTAGCACATGCTCCTAGTGCAGGGGACAGATGGCCCCTGCACCCCTAACCACCACCTCAGAAGCCTCCTGATCCCAGTATTAGTTTACAGGAAATTGAAAGGGCAGAGAAATGCAAAGAGGAAAAGACTTCAGTTACTCACATATGTTTACTGGTCCAACACCTTCACAGATCCTGGAGGGAGAGAGAAATGATTCAGTTCATGGGTATTGTTCCCCCAAACCTGCTTGCTTAAAAAAGGCTTTCTTATCTGAGTAGATCAGTGGACCAGCAGTTCTCAGCTCTCTGAGCTGGTGCAGCTTGCTTTTGAGAACACAAATCTGGAATGGCTTTCCAAGCCCCTGACAAGGGCAACTGACTAATGCTTGCAGAAAATGTATTTCTGTCTTTCTAGACTGCCCATTTCAGCAATTCTTCATCTACTCCTCTCCTCTTATGTGGTTAATTTTTCTAGATGCCCACACCTGACCTCATTCCCTCCTGCCGCAGCAGAAGCCTCACCGGATCTCCTCGCCCTCCAGCAGCCGCCTGTAGGTGGCGATCTCAATATCCAGGCCCAGCTTGGCATTCATGAGCTCCTGGTACTCCCGCAGCTGCCTCGCCATGTCCTGCTTGGCCTGCTGCAGGGCCCCCTCCAGGTCTGCCAGCTTGCACTTGGCGTCGTTGAGGGCCGCCTCGCCCTGCTGCTCAGCTTCAGCCACGGCAGCCTCCAGCTTGGCCCGCTGCAGAGAAGGTAGTCTGCCAGTTGGCTCTGACTCCAGCCCAGGGACCGTGGGAGGTAGGGAGAGTGGGCAGGCACTGGTTTAGAAACACTACTCTATGTGGATGGAATGTATCCTTGCCCTGAGAGGGGCAGGGAGCCTCTGGTGGCTGCTCAGTTCCCATCCCCACTGACTTTGCCCTTGCTGATTTCTGCTACTTTGAGATCGTGGGGTCCAGAGAGTTGCTCATTCTTTTTCTCTCCCCTCATCCTTTTGGTAGTCACCGGCCTTTCCTTCTATATGGGAGGCTCTCCTTTTATTTCATATTTTCTTCCTCCAGGAAGCTTTCCTGGACAAATCTTCCATTCCTCTGTTTCTGGGTCTTGATGGGGCTCCCCAAAGCTAAAGGACCTGACTCTCTCCCCTCTGTGACTTTTTCTCATTTTTTGCCTACCTGAGCCTTGGCATGCTCGATCTCTCCCTTCAGCCTCTGAATCAACCGAGTCAGCTCATTGATTTCATCCCGGGTATTACGTAGGTTGTCACAATGCTGGCCAGCAGTCACCCGCATCTCCTCATACTAGGGAGAAGAAAGTGTTTTGAGGATTCAAAGTCAGATCAAGACTACAGCCAGTGCCACAGAGTTGGAGTCTCAGACTCCCTTGGGGTCCATCCTGCTGCAGATGAGTCCCGCACAACCCTGGGTCTTCCCATGCCTGTTTATCAGCCTCTTCATGCCCACCTTGGTCTGGTACCAGGCCTCGGCTTCAGCACGGCTGCGCCTGGCCACTTCCTCGTACTGTGCCTTGACCTCAGCAATGATCCCATCCAAGTTCAGGTCTCGGCTATTGTCCATCTTCACAATGACTGATGTTTCTGAGATGTGTGATTGCAGCAACTGGATTTCCTATGTTGGAGGAGCAGTAAGACAGATAGGCTCAGAGTCCCCTCTGTGTTTGGGACTCTGTCACAGGGCTTCCAGGGCAGAATGCATTGCTTATTGCTTTAGGACAAAGTAAGACCCTCCAAGCTAAGGGCAAGGAAAAAGCCAGGTTTGAGGACTATTTTAGTTAGAATCTTTGCTATAAGCTTGGAGACATCCCCCTTACATCCTATATTGCTAGGTCAATGTTAAGACTAGGGGAGCCTAGGAGCTTGCTGGAGGGAGTAGGAGCTATGCTAAGGCTTAAACTTTTCTCTGTCTTATCCATAAAGTGGCCACACTGGTTATGATGCACTGAGCGCAGACTACATTTTAGAACACAGTAGTATAGAAATTTCTATATCCCAAGACCTTCATAGAACTAGGGTGGGGTGGGGGCTGGAGCTGGCTGGCAGGAAAGTCTCAGCCTCTTCACTTGGAGTTAGAAACTCAGTTCAGGTCTATTCCAGACCAAACAGATCACATATGAAGCAAAGGATAGCTAGTTGGTTTGGCAAATTAGATCAAACCCAATCTTTCTTACATTTACTGGTAAGTCAGTTTTCTAGACTTATCTGGCCAGTAGATAGGAAGTGACATTTTTAAACCCCAATCTTTAGGTTGGCCAATGAGGACTGGGGTCACAGATACAGAGATCATTCATAGGCCAGAGCCAGGCTCTGAAAGGCTGGCACATTCTCCACTTGCAGATATATAACATAGAGAACAGAGATGTTTGATACCAGAGTTGAAAACTTGTCAGCCCAGACTAAGCCCTCACAGGATTGAGGCCCAGCCCTGATTTCTTTCAATGGCTTTGAGAAGAAACCTCACCTCCAAGTACAAGGCTTTCAGGAAGTCAATTTCCTGAGTTAGGGTATCCATGTTGGCTTCCAGATCAGATTTATTCAAGAAAGCTGTATCTACATCCTACATAAAGAGAGAAGGATAAGATACTCATCATTTATGCTCCATTTACCCTTCCCACCTAGGCAGCGTCTGCAGATGGGTGGGACGATCCTCCTATTCCATAGGGCCAACTCCTGCAAACTTTTGGGATGAGTAGAAGTGAAGCTTAGAGACTCTTATTGCTCCTCCCCTCACTGCGATGTGAAACTCCCCCAGTGACTACTGGGTATGCTTCAATGCTTATATAAAGGCAAGAACATCTGAATAATTCAGGACACTTCATTAAAAGCTCATCTTTCCAGGTGGACTCTCATGTCATGCAGTCCTAAATAATCTGAGGCCAAACCAGAACTTTGAAATGAATCTGATGTCATCTTCAAAGTTACACTGTCTATGTGAGTAGTCCTAGATTCCACAGGGATGCCTGGGTCATGTCTTGGTGGATGGCCTGAGGAACATTTTCTCATATGAAGAGATTTGTCTGGACCTGTTGCTTTTCCTTACCTTCTTCAGAGCTACAAACTCATTCTCAGCATTGGCTCGGAATACCACCTCCTCTTCATATCTGGGATGATTAAGAATTTTATAAAATGAGAATTAGTTACTTCTAAGTCTCCCATGAGCCTCTTAACACCCTCTGGTCCATTGAGGACTTTGACTTCCTATTGCTATCCACATAGTACCATTCTTCTGGCTTTATCTTTAAGATCCTTTAAGAGCCAGTGATCTTCAGTTCCCCCAAATCTCTTTTACTTTTTCAACTTGGATTTAGGGTCTGAAGATCTGGACCACTGCTGTACTCCTCTGTTAGAAATGACTTGAAGTCATTGCACTTGACCATAGAGGATGTAGGAACCAGCTCAATGCTGAACATGGGTACTGTTTTCACAACCAGAGGGCTCCATTTCTGGGATGAACTTGCATATCCCCACTGGAAGTATTAGGGACAAATTGTGCCCAATTCCAAGACTTCTTTTTTCTAAGGACCCACAGGGAACCTCCTCTTCCCCCTCACACATAACTGTCCCCCATCCTGTCCCCAGAGTGGGTACTGTGACCAATATTCAGTCCCGATCCTTTTATCTGCTCTCATTGGAAGTGGGCTGCTGTTTCGGGACCAGCTCATGTATGTCCTTAGTCTGTGCAGCCCAGGTGTCACTCACTTCTTTTTGAAGCCCTCAAGGACATCCTGAATGTGGTTCTTCTCTGCCTGCAGCCGAGCCTGGTCACTGACCAGTACATCCAGCTGCCTCCTCAGGTTGGTGATGTAGTTCTCAAAGAGAGGCTCCAGGTTGCTCCTGGTACATTTCTGTTCTTGGAGGAAGCTCCACTTAGTCTCTAGTAGCTTATTCTGTTGCTCCAGGAACCTCACCTAAATCAACAGGGACATAGAAATGGCATTTGAAGGGCTCACTAGGGTCCCCACATGTCAGACAGTTCTTCAGAGCAATGATTTTCCATCACTGGTGACAGTGTTTTCTGCTCTGCTGACTTTTATCCCTCCTCTAATTCAGTGGAAGTTGGAAGATCAGACCTGTGCTCCCTCTTCTCATGTTCAGCCAGGCTTGGCCTCAAGTAGAGGTGTTTGAAACAAAGCACTTCAGTCCCATTTGCTCCACTCCCCAAGGCACAAGCCAATTTACTGGGGTTGGGGTTAGAAAGACTGATTCTGTTTAAACTGGGTTTCTCTGGAAAATCAATGACAGCCACCCCTAGCACAGCATGAGGTGCTAAGGAAAGTACATTGGGGTGAGCTGTATTGTGAGGACATGGGATTCTGGGATTGTAACACATCAACCACCTTAGATACTCCTTTGCCTGAGATGTGTACAGCTGAAAGGGAAAGTACAGCTCACTTTCCCCAATCTCCTCCTGTAAGAGATGAGGACACTGGAGCCCAGAGGTTTCTTTCTGAGCTTATGCCTTCCTTTGCACCTAGACATTGTCTGTGGATGGTACTCCTTTGGCACAAGCCACACCACTGTCCCTCTGAAGCAGCCTGAAGATCAGCAACCTCCAGTGATTGTTTCCTATGTTTCTCTCAATCTAGGCAGCTTGGTGAATCTTGGTATTCCCTGTGTGGGGTATGAATTCTTAGCTTTTATATGAGTTACTTAATTGTTTCCCCCTTTGCTAGGCCTAAGCAGATAAGGCCACCCAGCGTCAGAAACTAGGGGACTCTCATAAAGAGCATAAGGATCTCAGAAGAGAAAACTTTAAAGTATATACCACCTGTTCCCTGGCTGAAGGCTGACTGTTGCTAGCCTACACAGGAGACATTTATGGGTGAGCAGAAAGTAGGCCTCAGTTTGCCTAGATGCTTTCAGATTTGGCTGGGCATTCCTTTTCCCTCCAGAAGAAGTAACCAGTGTCAGCCTATCTCACTATATGACAGTTCCTCTAGCTTGTCCTTTCTCAGTGGCAGAGTAACCCAGACCTGATATCTCAGTTCTTTTGCGGGACATCTGAAGGACCTGGGGCCAAAGGCAATGTCTCCAACCTGGACCAGTTCTTGTCAAGGGAAAGAACACCCCAGTCCACTTTAGCACTTATCATCCCAAACCCAAAAGATTCAGCTATCATAGGTACCTTGTCAATGAAGGAGGCAAACTTGTTGTTGAGGGTCTTGATTTGCTCTTTCTCATCTTTCTTCACCCTCTGGGCATTGGGGTCAATCTCCAAGTTGAGGGGGGTCAGCAGGCTCTGGTTAACAGTCACAGCTGTGATAGATGGGGCTGCAAGGCCTCCAACACCAACTCCAACTCTGTAGCCAAAGCCAGGCCCACCAAAACCATGGCCAAGGCCACTGCTGGCTCCAAACCCCAGACCAACACTGCTGCCAGCCCTAAACCCCAGACCAATACCACTGCCAAAGGCCACCCCACTGCCAGCACCAAAGCCAACTCCACAGTGGATGGGACGAGAGCCCACAGCTGCTATCCGGGGTGAAGAAGATCCAAAGTTGATGACACTCCGACTACCAAAGCCACCCAGTCTCTGGAAGCCAGGCCCACTCCTGCAGGAGACAGAGCTGGCCCAGAAGTGATTCTGGGGGCTCACTGCTGAGCAAGAGCTGAAGTTGCCCACCCGGTGACGAGAGCTGACTCTGTAGGAGCAGCAAGACATGATGACTTCCTGGGTGACAGCCAAGGAGCAACCGTAGAGTGGGGTAAGCTGGAGCTGGGAGTCCCTTTGAGACTAGTGGATCTTTCTCATCCTTTTTATGTGTGTGGGGATCTGAGGATTGGCCCATAAAAACAAAAAAGCCATTTGAAGACATTTATGAGCTTGGGTAGTGAGCAGAAACTCTTCATGCCTGTAACCTCCTTAACAATGAGCTAACTCTGACACACCTATTCTCATCGGGATAAGGACTATAAACATTAAAAACACATAAACACATAAATATTATGATCCTATTTTTTCCCATAAGTCCACCATAATTGCCATTACAAGGACATTAATTTGCTTTGGTCATAAATTGAAAGACTTCTTCACTGCAAGAGTGGCTAACCACCAGAAAGTTAGGATGGTAACAGTGCCAGCCAGAGGCTCCCAAGGAATGCATGCATCTATGTAGATTTTAATGCCCTAAAGAGAGGAGGGTATACAAAGGAGAAATGGTCTGCACAGCTCCAGGAAAGAAACTATATGGAAAGAATATAGTGTACTGTACCTCTACAGACAGATTAAATAATCAATAAACTTTTTGCAGTGTTTCATCCATCTTCTGTGATCTAGTTTGGTTGTTTACATAACAGTGAATCGAGAGCAGAGCTCATTTGGGCCAGTGTAGACACTTCTATGATTTAAGATGCTGAAAGGTGTTTCATTCATTCGATGACTATTGAATGCCTACTAGGTACCAGGCCATGGCTCCTGTATGTAAAGCTCTCCACATGATCTGGAGTCACACTCCTTACCAAATATCCCACAGGACTAATTTAAGGTCAGGTCCATGCAGTGTCCTTGAATAATTGGTTAGGATGCAGAGACACAAAGCAAGAAGCATCTGGAGAGAAAAATGAAAAGTTGGAAGAGACTGGATATTGTTCTTATTGTTAACATTACCGATGTTCATGACCCGGAGATAGTCTGGTGTTAGGTTTTTCTATTCTAGTACGTGGCATGTTTGTCTTTCTTGTCCTATGCCTGGGAGAACTTTTGTTTGACAGGATGCTTGTATTCTCTCAGATGCTTTGTATTCTACTTAGAGAGGGATATGTGGTTTTGACAGGAGATATCCAGCTCAGGTGGGCATTACTATATTTTCTATAGATCCAGCTACTGGGAAAAGATAGAAAAAGAAAGAACTAGAGAATCCTTGTCAAGATCACAAACAGCCTCTGTTGCTGAATTCAATGGTCTGTTTTCATCCCTCATTTCTCCTGACTTATCAGCAGTATTGACACAATTGACAAGCTCATTCCCTTAACATACTTTCTTCTTTTCATTTTCAAACAATATATCCTCCCAATTTCTTGCCATCCTTTGTAATCTTAGCCAGTTCCTCCTCATGTTCCCAATCTCTCTACATACCTGAGCATCCCTGGACTCAGACCTTGTAGCTTTTTTCATCATTACCATGGTAGCATCATGCTGACTTGTGACTTTAAATACTCTCTGCCCATCAATGACTGCCAACGCATAGCTCTACCCTAGACACCCTCTTGCCATGTGCCTCCAGTATGTGTTCATAAATATCTCCATTTCAGTATCACATAAGCATCTCACATTTAGCACATCCCAAAATTTTTCCCTAACAATTCCTACTAAATGTTTTCTACTTCCAACAGCACTGTCCTTGTAGTAGCTCAGGCCAATAATCTTGAAGTCGTCCTTTTTTTCCTTGGGTTTTGCCATCTCCCCCATCCCATATATTGGCAAACTTGCCTTCAAAATATATCTGACCATGTTTTGTCATGTTTTGGCCCAAGTCCTTCCTTCTTGCCTCACCAGGCCCACTAAACTGTCCTTCTAGATAGTTTCCCAGCTTCTTCCTCTGTCTCTTCAGACTTTTCTCAATACCACAGCCAAGGGGATCCTTGAAAAAACATGTTAATTATAGCACATCGTTTCTGTGCTCAATGCGCTCCGAGCTGAGGCTACGCCAGACTCTCCACAGCGAGCCTCCCACTTCCTGACCTCACTTGCCACCACCTATCTTACTGCTTGCTATGCTCTGGCCACTCTGGCCTCCAGCTGGTCCACACAAAAGGAGGACTTTGACCCACTTGCTGTTTTCACCACTGGGAACATTTTTCCTCACACTCCTTGCCCCAAGCTCCCAACTCTTTCAAGTCTTTGTTCCTATATCTTCTTCTTCTCCCCTATTGATGCTCCCTGTCCCATGCACTCACTGCCACCTGTCCCCTATCCTTAGCAAGCTTGCATGGTTTACCTGTGTGCACTGGCTGGGGTGTAACCTCTGGGAAGCAGCACTGTTTAGTTCTCCTGGGGCCCCCGGGGCTTGGTAGAGCAGGTACAAGGTAGGCACACTACCCAGTATTGTTGAATGACTGAATGCACTGTAGAGCTTGAAAGCAGGAAGGGAAAGGGAGAGAGGGAGTGGGTTTCTCAGACATTTAAGGAAGAGGAGACTCCAGCCCCAAGGTGGGTAGGAATAGCCCTGAAGATGCCAGGGGAGCAGAAACTCAGGAGCTCACAGGAGGATCAACTAGTGTGCCCTCCAGCTCTGGCCTCTTGGGTTTGACTCTGTCTTCTCGGAGGAAAGGCACCCCACTCCTCTGAAGGAAGGCAAGGGGTTGCAGGAGGTTGGGAAGGAGACCAGGAGACCCCTGCTGAGGTGAAAGGGGGAGAGGTAGAAGGAATGGCGCAGAGGTCACAAATAAGGACAGATGACTGGTTACAGACTTTGGGGTCAAATGCACCCAACTTTAATCCCACCCTCAGTGTGACCTTGGATGGTGGTGGTCTGAGGGCAAGGTGCTGGTAGTGTTCTGCTCCAGGTAGGTACCATATATATTAATCAATAAGGTGTTCTTCTCTGTAGAGATCCTAAAAACAATAATACCACTAACTAAAAATCCACCTTCTTTCTACGATCGCCATACCCTGGCTGTTCTAAATAATGTTCTTCAAAACACTATCCCGACCAATAGTACATCAGTGACTGTGAGGGAATTTTCTGACCTCTCTGAGCCTCAGTTCCCCCATGTGTGATATGGAATTAGACCTACTTCCCCTCATTCTAGGATGCAGCATGGACCTCTCTCTAGAGTGTGTGCGGGGTGGGCCTGTAGCTGTCCCCATGTTCCATTGCCCTCTTTCCTTCCCACCTTGTGGGAAGCATTTTTCTGTCTCTGGCCCAATCCTCCCAGTACTTCTCAGCAGTCCTCCCTGTTCCGGTCCCACACCCCATACCCCAAGGCCAAGGTGCTCATTATTACCCCATTAGGCAGCGTTCCTGGGCTTTTCCAATCTCAGCTTCCTTGAACCCTGAGTAGGCTGGGTGGGGTGGGGGTGATTGGTTGGAACCAGTCAAGCATAACCCCGTAACCATCAGCACTTTATAGTTCTGAGACATTATTTCGCCAGACGATGCATAATACAACCTTCAGCCATTTTGTAGAGGGTGGCAGGCGGAGAGGGGGAGGAGTCGTCCTGGCAACTCTGGGCTGGAGGTTTTGCTGCTGTGACAGTTTCTTCTTGCTGCTGTCAGCCAGCCTGAGTGTAATCCGGGAGATCTGCCGGGTGAGCCTACGGTGGCTCCCCAGCAGGGTGACTGTACACCCACTGCTGGGTCATCAGGATGCTATCCGTGGAGGAGGGAAGGAGGGCAGGAGAGGCCTGGCCAGTGGAGGGGGAGTGGAGCTGGGTCTGAGAACCCTGGGCACTCTGTGGCTGGGCATGTGGGTATGTGTGGGAAGATGGACCCGAGAGGAAGCCCAGGTGTTGAGAAGGCTTTGCTGAAAGCTGCCTTCTTCTTTGAGTGCTTCCATTTTGCCTGGGGATGAGCTTGTGCTGGAGAGAGGCACCGTCTGGGAAGTCTCTCATGCTGAGACCTGCACCTGTTGGGGGGAAGCCAGCGGGAGTCCCCAGCAGCAGCAGAAAGGGGCAGAAGGGAGGCTGCTCCACCCTTGCCTGAATCTATCCTCTCAGGCCACTTGTTTGGAAGCCAAAACCCCTCCCAAGGGGGATAAATCACCCCCTCTTGGTGGGTGCTCCCCTACCCTGGGAAGGGAACTTCAGGTTTTGTTAAAGTCCTTCACATTGCCAGGGGAAAAGTGCTGTTCCTGGCAGGCAGCAAGTGTTCACTGCGTGCTCCCACGTGCCTGCTGCTGAGTTAGGAGGTGGCCTTTGGGCAGCCCCCTTCTTGCTCTCAGACCGGTGACCCCGGGCTCCTCTCCTTTCCTCATGGTACCATTTTTGAAGTGATCGGCTCCGATGCTTGGAAGCTCCAGTGAGAAAAGCAGTGGGTCGCAAAGGAGACTGTGTAAGGAGGGGCTGCTGGGGGCAGAGGCAGAGGGTATCTTGGTGGGGCACTGGAGCAGGGAAGGCCTCACAGGGACAAAGACTCTTCGCGAACATCTGAGAGTAGGGGAGGATGAGGGATGCGGAAGTGAGAGACAGAGCAGAAACAAAGAGTCTCACCCTGGGTCCTCCCACCCTCTTGATGCCATTTCCCATCCTCTTCTTGCTTGGGCATTCTTTGAGGGGCTGGGGCTTGGATTCTCCAGAAAAATTCTGGAACTCTGGGTTTCATCGATGTTTTTCCTTTCTCTTAGAGGGCAGGGGGCCCTGGAACTTCTTCGCATTTCCTAGCACCCAGAGGGGCAGGCTGGAGAAGCATTTGCTGAACTGAATGAAACAACAGCACCAAGAACACTGGGCCACCACCAGGAGGCACTTTCGTCCAGCCTGCCTTGAGTCATCACCTCCTTTGTGGGGAATGAAGAATGGACCACTTGCTAACAGTGGGGAGAGTGGGAGTCCCAGGTAGATGTTCTGGAGGAGACGTGCCCAGGCCTGAGCTGTGATATTCTGCTGTTGTGATGAGTAGTCCTTCGTGATGTTTCTAATGTCCTCCCCTCCCCAGCAGACACTCCCTGTGGGCCTGCACACTCTGGAACCACAGTCTCAGAGATAGTCACCAGGCCAGAGCCCCCCATCCATGGGGAGGCAGTCGTCTTTATTTTTACCTCAGCCACACACCGAAGTGGGGTTACTTCCCAGGCTTCAGGTAGTCATCTGTGGGATAGAGGTGGCTGATCTTGCTATCTGCTTTTGCTGACTCTAGGCCAAAGCTTCCCTGTCATTTCCAGAGCTCTGAGGTATTAGTCAGCAGGGAGCTTAGCTGGCTCCAGGGCCAGGTCCACAGCAATGAGGTTTCAAGTGGGAACCGTGGCTCTGGGCTTGCTGTTCCTCCTCCTTCTCCTCTCTGAGGTAGAGGCTCTGAGGGTGCCGGAGCCCAGCCACAGATCCCTTTACTTGGAGGAGTCCCACCAAGCCACCATTCCCTTACGGCCCCACCAGTCTGGAGAGTGAAGCTTGCCTGCCACCTACCTGGGAACATCCCGTGTTCTGTGACTAAACTGAGACCCTCAGTTCTGTCCCCCCATGGCCCTCCACCTCCATTGAAATCCTCACAGCTGTAATTTTGCGACCCAGGTCTGTATCTCTGCCAGGCCCCCTGGGCTTGGGCTGGCCCACACCTCCTCTAACAGCCTTATTGGGAAATGGTTCTCATCACCACACAGTCTGCTCATTTAGAATTACAATTCAGGGGTTTTCAGTATATTCACAGGTTTTGTAGCCATCACCACAGTCAATTTTAGAACACCATCATCACCTCAGAAAGAATCCTTCAGGCATCCCCTAATTCCCATCTCCACCTTCTGTCAGCCTTAAGCCAATACTACTCAGCTTTCTGTCTCTACAGATTTCTTTGTTCCTGAACTTTCTGTGCATTTATTATGGGAATGGAATCACGTGACCAGTTTCTTTCAGTTTTCAGATTCACTCATGTTGTAACATATATCAGCACTCCGCCCCTTTTTATGGTCAAAATGATATTCCATTCTATGGCTGGCCCACATTTTGTTTATTAATTTTGTTCATCCATTGACAGACATTTGAGCTGTTTCCACTTTTTGGTCATGATGAATAATATTTCCAGTTTATGAGCTCATATTTTTTTCTTTTGGGTACATATGTAGGGGTGGAATTCCTGGGTCATCTGACTGAAGGTTTTGAGGACCTGCTGGGCTGTTCTCCACAGTGGTTGGTCTGTCTTACATTCCTTATCCTGGGCCCTGGATCAGGCCCACTGCACCTATGGGGCTCTCTCATTCTGCTGACAGCCCATGGGTGGCCTGGCCCAAACAGGTGCTTAATACATTTCCTATTGTAAGAATGAAAAAGTAAACAAATGGCTTGTTTTGAACATGCTGCCCATGAACTGTGTCTCTAGAGATAGTCTCTTGCAATCTTCCTTGTGAGTTTCTCCCTGACCTCTTTCCCAGCATAATCATTAATTGCAACTTGTTGTTCTCGTACTTTTTAGGCATTGTTATTTACGACTCTGTTATTTATGACTCCCTGGTGAGGCTGGGAGTCCCTCCAGGGGTAAGAGGAGTCTTTGTCATCTCCATCTTGACACAGGGGTGGGTGCTCTGTGTGTGGTTGTAGGGTGAGCGGGAGGCTCATCCCGACTCTCAGAAGGGGCCCCACAAGGAGCAGAGAGCCCCTTGGAAGAGCTGTTTTAGGGATCACTGAGGCAACAGGCAGAGGCACAGGGGCACTCGTAGAGGGTGGAATCCATTCACTGCCACCAAATCTTGTCTCTAGCTCTTGGGGTTCTTTACATGGGAAGAGGAGGCTGAGTGACTTGATCCTTTTCTCATGCTGGGATGTCACCCCTCTTCCCTGTTTTCCCCAAGTCCCTCTGCCCAGTCCCTGGGGATACTCCAGGGTGGGGGACACCAGCCAGGGTTTGGGGGCTGCTAAATCCTAATGTGATAGAGGCCTCATGGATTTTCACTAGCCTGTATGCAGGACCCCATGTAGGAAGGAGCTCTAAGTGCAGTTAGTCATGGCTTTTAGTGCAGCAAATGACTTGCAAACTACTGGGGTATGATGTGCAGGTTTTAAGTATAATTTGTTCCACAGGTCTCTTACAAACTATTTATATGTCATTTTCTACTGCTACAGCAACTTAAATTTCCATTCCCAAACCTCCAAGCCTCTGAAGGCTGCTCCTGATTCCCCTCAGCCTTACTGCATATCCCTCACAGAGCAGGGGTGAATAAATTTTTTTTTTTTTTTTTTTTTTTTTT